GGGGAGGGAGGAGAGAGAGAGAGACGGGAGATGCAGCGCCGTGTGGCAACGAGGACTGAAGCGCTCAAGTCGAACAGGTGTGCGGAAAAAAAAGGCGAAGTCAGCAGCAGCAGCAGCAGCGATCATGTGGCTCTCGCACCCTGTCAAGCCGTACTTCAGTTGTTCTTTTATTTGTTGTTTGGCTGCTCGTAAAAAGCCTCCGCTATCGCCATCACAAGGTTGCGTTAACAGCTCGCTCTTTGTGTTTTGAGAGGTTCAACGAACAAAGAACAAAACAAAATTGGGCAGCAAGCGACTCCGTAAGAGAAAAAAGAAATCAAAAACAGTCGTCTTCTGCAATGATACATGGCGACGTCAACAAGTTTTATGACAGCATCAACATAAAAGAGGAAGGGAAAAAAGAAGGTAAGCTATGTACATGTATGTCCGTGCACGCGAGAGACGGATGATGATGATGATGATGATGATGAATCAACACAAATAGAAGGCGGCGAGTTCCTGCCGTAAAAGAGAAAAAAAATCAAAGAAGGAAAACGTTGACGATGCGTTGACGGATCATCTGCTGTGCCACTGGCTTCTGCGCTCTTCCACCACAGTCAAACAGCTACTATTCCACTACCGCGCCAACAGCAGCGGCAACAGGAGCTCGTCGTCCTCCTTCGGTCTTCGTACAGCACATTCTTTTTAACCTATTTTTTTACTGCCGGATTACATCCACACAGGAGGCAGACGGCGCTGAAACACACAGTGCTCCACTGGAATATCCGCGGCCTGCTTTGACGTACACCACCGAACGTCATCCTCGTCCGTATCGTTCCTGCCGCCCTTTTGTTTGCCGCTGCGGCTCTGCATGCCTCTACCGCTCGCCACGGTGGTGGTAGTGGTGCGGACCGCCGTGTCGCCCCCCGACGCCTCCGCTGCCGGAGCCGCGAGAGACGTGAAGCCGAAGGTGCGTCTTTGAATGGCGGACGACGTCGATGCTGCGGCGGCGGCCGCTGACGTGGCACCGCGGTTTTGTACCGACTTTGTGGAGAGGCTTTTACCACCGACACTCGCCCCCGCACCGCCGCCGCCGCCACCGGTGGCTAGACGCGTCTTCGCGTTGGTGACGCTGTCATACAGGCAGTACTCGTCGTTCCGCTGGCGGCGGCTGCGCGTCTGGCCGGCTTGTGTGTTGTCCGTCGACATCTTGGCATCGCCTTCGCCGTCCCCTTCCGCACCTCCGCTGCCGTCTTGGAGGAAGAAGAAGGCACCGTAGGTGTCCGTGTTGGTGGACAGCGGCAGCTCCGCGAGCGGGTCCGCCACAGGATCCTGGGAGAAGAGCAGCGCGCGATCCACGCCCTCCCTCCCACTAGGACTGCCATGATCAATACTGCACGCCGCCCCACGTGTGGAGGTGCCAGGGAGCAGGCCAAGCAGCGGCACCGGTGCCTTGCTGCTGCTGACCGTGTCCTCTGCATCGACGCCGACAGCCGTGCGGTTGTAGTCGACGTCGTACGTCGTGTGCATCAAGTCCTGCCGCACCTGCGGCGCATTGCGTGCTTGGGTGATGCGGAGGTCTTCAAGCAAGCCATCTTCGCACGCGGCTTTGCTGATGTGGCGGCCATTTTGGCTCCGCTGCGGCTGTTCGCTGCGCAGCAGGCGATCTTCATACCAGTTGCCGACGAGGGTGGTGTTGTGGTAGGTGTTGTCGAAGGTCTCCCCAGCGGTATCGCGATCGGAGGGCATGGCGGGTTGTGAGACTGTGTCTCGGCTCTAGGTCCCCAATAGCAAATATGGCTCCACAAAACAGTGGGAACTGCGCTGCCACCTTGAAGATTTAAAATACAGGGTAGAGAGAGAAACAAACGAATTGTATCTAAAAAAAAAAGATGGAAGGAGCAACAAGAAGGTCAACGCTGGATTTCGATACCGTGGGCGGAACTGAGGATCTCTTCTCTTGATTATACACTTCTATACCCGGTGGCGTTCGACGTGTGCACGGTTCCTCGAAGAAAAAGACACGCGAGTAGGGGCGAAAGAGGAGGAGGGGGGGGGTGAGAGAGAAGTGGAAGGGATGGCTACAAGGGACGCGAAACGCACTTCGCGCTTGAGCGCGCGCCGGCAAAGAATCGAGTAACATCGTGTTTTCTTTTTAAGAAACCAGAACATGGTTGGCTGCGTTGGTGATTCCCGCTGCCTTCAGCACGTGGAAACCGTTCCAATGCGCATCGCATACATTCCGGAAGAAGAGGGGCGGGGAGGGGGGACTGCTGCTTTTAGCGTGGCGGTCGGCGCACATGCCCCCATGACGACGCTGCTGTGTCTGACCTGAATAAACGGTGCTTCGAAAGAAGGAGCGAAAGGGGCAAAAGGAAAGACTTACTCGACGATTATTAATACTATTCTTGAAATGTTATAATCATATATATATATAAAGAGAGGTTAGTTAACGCCCTGGGGCGATCTTGCCGACCTTCTTACGCGTCGCGCTGCCCGCCAGCTTCGACGATGACGCCTCGGCGTCCGTCGCAGTCGTCTTCGACTTCTTCGACGCGGACGGCGCTGCGGGCGATCGCACCCGCTTCGCCGCCACGGGCTTTTCAGGAGGCGGTGACGCAGCTGCTTTGCTCCTCCCCTCCTCTCTCTCCTCTTCGTGGGTTTCGCGCTGCTTTGCACCACGACGGTGGCGCTCCTGCTCACGCCGCTCCCGCCGTTCATGCGCCTGCGCCATCGCCGCCGTCTGCGCCCGCGCCCGCGCATCCCGCTTAACCGCCGCGTGTGTCTTGTTCGTCCGCACGCGGGCACCGAACTGCTCCTCCACCTGCTGCTTCGCCTGCACCTTCGCGGACGACACCTCGTCCAGCAACGGCAGAATCGCCGTCTCCTTCGCCGCCGGTGACCTCCACCGCCCCAACGTGGTCTTCGTCTTCTTCTCAATCCGCTGAACGAGGCTGACGTCGTACTCGGAGACAAAAGCGACGGAGTGGCCCTCCCGCCCTGCTCGTGCCGTTCGCCCGACGCGGTGCACGTAGGTGTCCGCGTGCTTCGGCACGTCGTAGTGCAGCACGAGGCCGACCATTGGAATATCCAACCCGCGGGCCGCGATGTCTGTGCATACGAGAATGCGTGAGATGCCAAGCTTGAAGCTCGCGACGTTGTCGAGGCGGTGTTGCTGCGTGAGGAGCGAGTCGAGGCTGCACACGGGGAAGCCGAGCAGCTGCAGCGTCAGCCGCACCAACTCCGCCCGCAGGCAAGAGTTAACGTAGACAATAGTGGATTGACTCTTGCCTTGCGCTTGCAGCGCCGCGACCAGGTACGGCAGCTTCACCATGTTTGGAATAAACAGGTAGTGCTGTTGGAGGGTTTCGGGAAGGTGAAAGACAGAAGCGGACGCCGAGGACGAGGTGGACGCATTGGCCGCCTCTCTGTTTCCCACTTCATGAGTGTTCGTGGCCTCCGCATCGAGAGGGGCGCGCGCCGTGCCCGGCGTGGTCATCCCGCCCTGCTCTTGGATTGCTTCACGCACCACGAACACCTCCAGCGTTGTTGGGTCCGTAATGCCCAGCTCTGCAAGAACGCTGACTTCACCTTCCGCCGTGGAGGCGTCGGCTGCTGCGACGGGTGCGAAGGAGGTAAGCCGTGTGTGCAAGGTTGCGGTGAAGAGCAGCACCTGCCGGCTCTTCGTCGCCGGCGGCAGCAGCCGCAGCAACGCCCAGACATCGCGTTGAATGTCGCCCTCCGTCAGTCGATCCGCCTCATCCAGCACTAAGTAGCGCAGGTGGCCAAAGGCGCCTTTGACTTCCGGGCCGAACGTGCGGAGGAGGTGGCAGAGACGCCCCGGCGTGGCCGCGACGATGTGTGGGCGTGCCTTCAGCGCGTCGATCTGCGTCTCTGTCGCGACCCCGCCAATCGCGAGCATCGTGCGTACCTGCAGCGGTGCCCCAAAGGCGATGAACTGATCGATGATTTGATAAGCGAGCTCGCGGGAGGGGGTGAGGACGAGTGCGTAGACGCCGTAGGTGTCCGCCGCTAAGGTTTGCAGGATCGGCAAGGCGAAGGCGGCGGTTTTGCCGGATCCTGTGGCGGCTCCACCGACGACGTGGCGTCCAGCGAGCACCGCCGGAATGCACCGCTGTTGGATGGGGGTCGGGGTGTGGAGAGCCATGTAGCTGCACTGCTTCGCCAGCCACGGCTGCACGCCGAGCTGCTGGAACTGCTGCGCCATTGTGACTACGATCCCTCCGGTTGTCGTTTACAAAGAAAACGGGAAGCGGAGAAATGCAAAAGAAGATACGGAGGAGTGAGCAGGGGGAAATCAGCAGCGGCGACAGCAGCCAAAATGTTCTCGTCTTTCGCTGTTCCTCTTCGTTGGAAAGTCGCAGAACAAGAAGAAGGAGGAGAGCGGCGGAGTAAGTTAAGAAGTGGAGATTGGGAGATGAGATGAACCGCAGGGCGGCGCGTGGTCGTAGAGGCCGTTGTACGAACTCACGAGACACCGGGTTGCACGTAAGTGCTCCGTCGGCGTATTTATAGAACGCAAATTCTACGCTGACAAAGAGGAAGAAAAAAGGGAAGGCCTGCGAGCCGCCTTTGCCGTCATGTAAGAAGTATATATATAGATAGAGAGAGAGAGAGAGAGAGAGCGAGCGCGCGCCGCTGTTTCGCATACGGCACCGCATTAACACGTCTTGGACATGCCTTCTGTTTCCTTTATTCCTTTCGCTGAATAGTTATTATTTTTGCCTCCCGATCGCGAAGACGACAGCTTTTTAAAAAGGTTTGTCTTCTCACACAACATATTTATATGTGTAGTGGCGAAGAAGAACACACGAAGGGTCGCTTTTGCGTTCTTCATATCTCCCCTCGAAAAAAACAACAAAGAAATGTAAGCCGGCGGGCCCCAAAGTGGAAAGAGAGCGCGTCACGCACCCGCACGGTCATGAATAAGGTCGTACATGTACGAGAAACAAACAAACCGAAACACCGCACACCGGCACTGACGAAGAATCAGAATAATTTAAAAAAAAGGGAAAAAAAAGGAAAAAAAGGAGGAGAGAAAAAAAAGGGCGGCGGAGTCAATGAGCGACGGAGCTCACAGCAAAGCAGCGGCGACAAACACGCTGACCGGCGCCTCAACTTACCCCTCTTGTGATTGACTGCGCACCGCAGCTACGCCTCTTTCTCGCTCATTCATTTTCACGGGGCGCGATGCGTACATCCAAGACGTCTTCGGCTTCGGCTCCCATCGCAAGTACCACGCAACACTGCGCCATTCATTTTTTTAATCTTCCTTCCTCCTCCATCCGCCGCAGTAACGGCAGAGTTCGCTCCGCTGCTCTGTGTTTTGTTTAACATGTCTGTTTTTGGTTTGGTTGGTTTGCTTTCCCCCCCCTCCCCGTTTCCTCTCTTCACAGGTTGCTGCCGATCTTCTCCACGCGGTGGCCCTTCTCGTAGAAGTACGCGGGGGTGCGCATGGAGCACAGCTCCTCCGCACTGGTGGGGTGCACGCCGATCGTGCTGTAGAAGTCGCTGATCTTCGCGCCCATCTTCATGCAAATCCCCACGCTCTGGATGATCTCCGGCGCGCTGTCGCCGAGCATGTGCACGCCCAGCACCTCCCCATCGGCGTGGTTCGTGACGATGCGGATCATAAACTTCTTGTAGGTGCTCCCGCTGACGTTGTGCAGCAGGGGTGTGAAGCTGCTCTCGTACACGGCGACCTGGTCGTACTTCTTCGCGGCGTCTTCCTCGATGTACCCGCAGGTGCCGATGGGGGGAATAGAAAACACGGCGCACGCCACCTTCGCGTGGTCCGTCGCGGTCGGGTTGTGACCAAAGACGGTCTCCACAAACGCCCCCCCCTCGTTGATCGCAACCGGGGTCAGCATCAGCCGATTCGTCACGTCGCCAATCGCGTAAATGTTGTCGATGTTTGTCTTGGAGTACTTGTCCACCTTCACAGCGCCGCCCTTCGCGACCTCCACGCCGACCTTATCGAGCTGCAGCGTGTGCGATCGCGGCACACGGCCGATGGCGAGCATCACCTGGTCGTAGTCCGCCTCCACGCCGCTCTCGAAGACGACGTGCTTCGTGCCGTCCGCGTTCTTCGTTATCTTCGCCGGGTTGTCGCCGGTGCGGATTTGAATCCCATTCGCGCGTAGCTGCTCCGTCAGCTGCTTGCGCACCTCCAGGTCAAACCCGCGCAGAATGACCTCCTTGCGGTAGACAAGGTTCACCTGCCCACCGCGGGGCTTGTAGGCGTTGAAGATGCCGGCAAACTCGACGGAAATGTAGCCGCCGCCGACGCAGAGCGGGTTCTTCGGCGCCTCCTCCAGGTAGAACGCCTCGTTGCTGGTGATGCAGAGTTCATCGCCCGGGACGCCGAGCCGCTGCGGCCAGGAGCCGGTCGCAATGAGGATGTAGTCCGTGTCCAGCGTCTCCAGCACCGCACTCTGTGGGTCCTCGGACTGGCGCACGACGACGGTGTTCCTGTCTGCGATGGCGCCGAAGCCCTGGTGGAAGCTGAGGCCCTCCGTGTCAGCGAACATGCCCTCGTAGCTGTGGTTAATATCCAGCACCGCCTTGTTCTTCGCGGCGATGAGGGTGTGCCAGTTTGGCTTGACCGAGTCGCGGTCCAGCTCCCAGCCGAAGCCGGCGGACTCGCGAATGGTGTCCATGTAGCCCGCCCCGGTCACCATCAGCTTCTTCGGCACGCAGCCGACGTTCACGCACGTGCCACCGAGGGCGGCGAAGTACGGCGGGCCGTGGGTCTTCTGCACGTCGATGACGGCCACCTTCTTCTTGTGGAGCGCGGCTGCGTTCCACCCCGCCTCCAGACCACCCGATCCAGCACCGATCACCACGAGGTCGTACGCGCGGGACATCAGTCGCGTAGTAAAACGGATAATTTTCGAAATAGGAGAAGTAATAATATTAATAGTAGTAATAATGGACGAGGGGAAGTGATTTTAAGAAGCACACAGTATGTTTTTCGTCTTCTTGACGTGTATAAATGTGTATAAAGCAAAGATGGTGGAGTACAAGCACGGAGCGTAAAATGCAAGTCCCCTCTGTTGCGCTGTTCGGTAGATTTTTGTTTTGTTGCTTTTCCCTTTCTTTCTTTCTTCTTCCTTTCGCTGAGGAGTTAAATAAGAATACTACTGATAATAATAATAACAGTAATAATAGTTCCACAAAAACGTCAAAGGAGAGCGACCGAATGAGAGCAAATGCGTGGAAGCAAGTATGAAAATGTGAGGTGTGTCGGTAAGTGTATGTAACCTGGTTTCACGCAATATATATGTATGTATATATAGAGAGAGATGCAAAGGGGTGATAGTTAGCCAAATCAGCGTCTCCTTCTATAGGATGCGCGACAGAAGAGGCTTTCCTGAGAAACACGACAGCAGCGATGACAGCGTCGTGGGTTTTCCCGTTGGCTTCTACTTCGACGGCAAGGGCGACCAGCTACGTCTTCGTAGGAGGAACACGCCAAAAAAAGGAATCCCGCTTCCAGAAGTTTACGCGCACCAGCGAGAAGTGCGACCGGGCACCGCAGCCGGGTCATCCACCAATCGTCTCGCGAAGTCCGTTCGTTTGGTAAAATAAAGGTAATTGCATATCTGCTGACCTGCAGTTTAAACCCACCAAAAAAAGGGCCACGCATACACACACATATCCGCACGCACGCACGCACGCTCCGTACGGCCTCCTCTCCGCCAACCGCGGCGCCAACGCGACGCACGTCGACATCAACATCAACAGACAATCCACTCCAAACCGCAGCACAACAGCGGCTCTGCTTTCCCTCCTCGCGGGCGACGACAGCCCGACCGTAAACCGCAACGAAGGCACCATATAAGTTTTTTTTTTGGTTCCTCGATGCGCCAACAAAGGAGCGATAACGCGGAGGGGAGGGGGGTGGGGAAGAAGACGACGCCACACCCGCTGCTGTGAAAAGTCCTTCGCCGCCTCCACAGCGACCACCACCACCACCGTCGCAGCAACAAACAAACACGCCAAAAAAAAAAATGCCGGTCCTCTCCCATAAAACAAGAGCAGCTACAACGCACGAATCTCTTCCCCTGCATCGCGTCAACACATGACCGCAAAGGCGCCTTAACGGAACACGCCTCGCGGCATCTTCGGCCCGTTCAGCGGGAACGGCGTGATGTCCTCCAGGTATCGCACGCGATAGTCCGCACTGCGGTCCTGCACCGCACGCACCGCGCCTTGACGGCCGTTATAGAAGCCCATCACCCGCACAACAAGGTCCACCTTCTCCCCACGACCGAGCGGATGTCCACTCGCCGCCCGCGCCTCGCGCACCTTCGGCAGCAGGTCGTTCAGGTACATGCTCGTGACTTGGTGGCCGTTGTCGGTGGAGCCGTCGCCGCGAAACCCCCGGTCACCGCCTTTCAGGCCGCGGTTGCCCGCCGTGTACGTGTTCAGCAGTCGCTTCCCGCCGTAGTCGTAGGCCACGGCGTAGGTGTTGCGCCGCCGCGAGACGAGGTAGAGAAAGATAAAGTCCTTGTTGTACTTTGGCAGTTCACCCCACAGGTCGAGCTGGGCGTAGGCGGTGAGGCCGTCCGCGGGCGCCGCCGCCTCTTCCTCCCCTTTTAACAAGGAGTAGCCAAACTGGTGCCGGAAGTAGTCGTCACCGAGAATGCGCTGTGGCAGGGCAGTCGACTTCGCCGACGACGTCGCCTCCTCCTGCTGCTCGTCTTCTCCTTCGTTCCCTTCGGCAACTTGGTGTTGTGGGCCCTTGCCGCTGCGCAGGGCGGCGGTCTCCTGCTCGTACCACACCCGTTCGTTAAAGCCACGCTGCGCGGTGAAACCGTCCTGTGCCGCGAGCTGCTGTAGTTCCTCCTGAATGGTCCTCGGACGGCTGCGGTGCAGAACGCCTTGCAAGTCCGCCTGCGGCAGGCGCGGGGAGGTGAGGTCGTCGGCTGCCGCCCCGCCGTGCAGGGCCGCCTCGGCCTCCCCTGCCGTCCCGCGCACCGCACGCTCCGGCCGAGCCCCACTGCGAAGCTGGCCGCTGACGTCGCCCACCATGGAGCTGTGGTAGTAGCCAGCTTGCTGCTGCTGCTGCTGCTGCTGCTGCTCCACGGCGTCGTTCGCGGAGCGAATGAGAAAGTCGCTGAAGTACTGCTGACCGCCCTGCTGGGGCTTCAACAGGGCGGGGACGCGGCGGTACTTGTCAGGAAACATGCCCGCCCGTGGGCGCGGCTTACCACGGCGCAGCAATACGGCCGACTTGTTCAGCATCGTCGGGGAGGGGAGGAGGGATTTGTTCTCTTCTCTCTCGATCTCTTTCTTGAAAATCGTCAACGCAGAAGCCGAGAAACGTGTTTTTCTCTGCGATGCGCACCGTCGCGGCAGCTGCTTGCGGTACCTCTTCTTTAACAGCCGCGCACACACACACAGAGACACAAAGAGACAGAAAAAAAAAGTTTATGCTGAGGAGAGGGATGCATGAGGGTACGAAAGGGGAGAAGAATCACAACGAGAGAGGTGGAGGGCAGACAGAGCAGGAGCTGCGGCAGAAAGAGAGGGGAAGCGACGTGCATCGCAAAAGAAAAAAAACGCAATGGACGCTGACGTGGGGCGACAACAAAGAAAGCCTGCGGTGCTCACATGGACACACAGTTTGCTTTGCCCTTAGCAACCACTCTGAAGCCATCTTTCGTCGCTGATGAAATATACATTTACATATGTACATACAGATTTCATTGTTTCAGTGACAAGCACCGGCTTCTACGAAAAGAGAAAATGCGCAAGTATGAATCATGAGAGCACGCAAAGCTGTACTTGGAAACACCAAAGAAAAGAGATCAGAGAGACGGTTCCACACCTCCGTCCCTCCCCGCCACTAACACCCGCGCAGGCAGTACGTGCTGCCGCCCTTCTGCAGCAAAAAGCCGAACTCGTTCAGCTGACGCAGCATCGCCGGTGCACTGCGGCAGCCGACGTCCTCGCAGATGTCTAAGATCGTCTGCTCCGCGAACAAGTTCACACCGCTGTTGTCCTCCACGATGCGCTGCTTCAGCCGCTGCAGCACCGCCTCTCGCTGGTTGAGCTTCGCCGGCTTCTTTCCACCCCCGCCTCCGCCGGAAGTCCCTACCGCAGCCGAGCCGGGAGCGGCCAGGCCGTCGAAGGAGTGCAGGCAGGACTGCAGCAGCTGCACGGCGTATTGCGCGTCTTCGCGGGTCACGTCGTGTCGCAGCTCCAGCTTCGCCCGTGCCTCCGAGACGCGGATGAGGGCCTGCAGGTACCGCGGGGTGACGGTGTCCTCCGGTTTCACGGACGCTGTCGTCGGCGCCGCACCAGCGCTGCTGCTGTTGTGGCCCATACCACTCCCGCCGCTTCCACAGGAAAAGACCGAACGGCGGCCGTCGTCGCTGATCCGTCCCCCCCCTCCTCCACCCGCGCCGTCACCTCCGCCACCGTTGGGAAACCCGTACTGCGACTCCGGCAGGTGCTGACGCTGCGCTAAGTAATGCGCCAGTAGCACATCGCTCGCCTCGCTGCCCAGCGTGGGCTGACACTGAGCGCGGCAGAAGGTCAGGAAGCGGCGCACCAGCGAGAGCGGCAGCGAGGCTGCGGCGGTGGCGACGTGGCGGTGCGCCGGGCGTCCGCGAATACGTGTAGCATCGCTGCTGTCCTCGTCTCCCCCGCCGCCTACGACAGCGGCGGCTCCGTCACGCGTATTCGCATCATTACGCCGGCGGTGCCACTGCAGTACATGATCCGTCAGGGCCTGCTGCGCCGTGCTGCCGGACCCGCGCGGGCTGCGCAGACACGCAACAATATCAAAGCGGCTCATCAGCGCAGGCGACAGGTTCACATTTGCCGCGAGCGATTTGCTGACGTCGAAGCTGCCGCCGATCGGGTTGCCGGCGGCCAGCACGGAGGTGTGCACCGGCATCGAAAAGATCATGCCAGCCTTCGCCAGACTCACCGTCTCCTGCTCCATCACCTCCAGCAGCGCCTTGTGCTCCTGCACGCCCTTGTCGATCTCGTCGAGGCAGGTAATTCCTCCATCGCCGTGCACCACCGCGCCGGCCTCGAAAGTCGTCTCCCCGGACACCGGATCGCGCGTCAGCGTCATCGTCAGGCCACAGGAGGACGAAGTGTGAGTGCAGACGAAGGCGCTGCGCGGGGCCACTGCGCACGCCGCCCGCAGCAGCTGCGACTTGCCCAGGCCCGGGTCACCGACCAACAGCAGGTGAATGCTGCTGCGGGTCTCGCCACCGTTCTTGTCGCGATTCCCGCCCACAATCGCGAGCAGCAACGCCTGCTTCACGAGCTCCATGCCGAAGATGGACGGCGCGACGGAGGCGGTGAGGCGGGCAAACCAATGCGGGTGTCGCGCCATCTCGTAGAAGCGGCCCATCTCTTCGGCGGACCAGCTGTCGAGGCCGGAGCCGGGCAGGGAGGTCAGGACAGCGGCGCTGTGCAGCGGCATGCGAGTCGCCGGTCCCTTCGCTTTCCCCC